GTGTGTGTGTGTGTGTGTGTGTGTGTGTGTGTGTGTGTGTGCCAGTAGACAATCCGGCGATCAGACAGCAGCAGCGACTATGATGACTTATTACTAGCTGTAGACAATCAGTCAGTCGGACAGCAAAGATGACTATGATGACTTATTACTAGCTGTAGACAATCAGTCAGTCGGACAGCAAAGATGATTACACTTTTTTTTTTGATTTGTTTTCTGTGTACTGGCGATCAGATGGCAGCATCGACGATGATGCTGTCGCCAAGGGTATTTTATGGAACCCTCGACACGTTCGACAATGGTGAACGAAGGAGTGCAGCACAGAGAGGTTCCGACCGTTCCGTACCATCAAGGGTATTTTCCGGAACCCGAAACCGAACCCAGTTCAATAATGGAGGAGAAGGGCAGGGCGGGGACGCGTGGTTGGTAGCGCTGCCACGGATTGGAGCAGCATCAAGGGTATTTTACCGAACCCTCGCCAAGTTCACTAGTTGAGGAGAAGGGGAGGGCGGGGACGGATGGTTGGGGTAGGGCCGCCGTGTGTCCGTTTTATGGAGAAGAGGAATGCAGCACTGTTACATGCATAGATATGCAATGTATGCAATAAACCGAGAATCTGCAATGTGATGAAACGGACTGAATAGACAATGCGGTTACGAGAATCTCGACCAGCAATGTACATTCTCATTCATACATGAAGATGCTGAAGAGCACAGGGAAGACTTGATACAAAGACTGACCGGACAGGACTGACCTCGTCCACGTTGTTCGGAGTAACGAAGCAGAATGCCAGAGTGCTACTAACTAGCCCAATCAATGTTGAACTCAGACTAAACATGCATTGTATCCATCACCGAGTGTGAAGGAGCCTGGCGCTGTAACACAGGAAGCAAGCGCCAGGTCCAGACATACACAGACGAAGAGGTAAGGATTAGACGAAAGGAGGGAGGAAGATGGGAATGTCGTTAACACCAAGTCTTGGTCACCGATCCCAAATAGTCCCTCGTTGCCATGTCTGAATCCCCAAAAAGTCGAGTCTGGATCATATGTCACCAAGCCTGGTATCTCTTCTCTCGTAGTCTGCAACTGCAGGGAAGTCAGAAGTTGAGAGGGTAAGAAGAAGATGGTAGACTGAGAAGATGAAGAACTCTCTCTCTCTCACTGTTACGAACCAGGTACTAACCTGTGATGTTGGCGCTGTGCTGCAGGAACCTTGAAGACGAAGCTGGAGCAACGGCGCTGCAGGTAAGTGATCCCTGGCCTCCGCCCATCAGTTCTACCACTACCTAGCTATGGCGCCCAGCGCCGAAGACTACAGCTACCTACTGCGCCCAGCGCTGAAGGCTACTAGCTAACACTGGTCTACTACAACGCAGCGCTCCCTCCAGAGTGCTGCTCCCGAATCCTGAAGACTACAACTGCCGAACTGCCTTCCTCGGAAGTGCCTACTACCTCGGCCTGCCTCCTGACTGCAGGAGGGCGAGCAGGCCGAGGATGCAGCTCTTGCCAATGCCGAAGTGTGCCAGGGGCTGGTGTGCAGCAGCCTGCTCGAGGCTGGCGTGGGAACAGTCTAAAGATAGGCTGTTCCCCAAAACCCTGGTTTGGTGCCTGCGTATCAGGGCCGGTCGTTCTGATGACCGACCGAATATGGCCCTTCGTTTCAGGCTAAAAAGGCTGTTGCCATTTTTAGTCTGAAACGACCAGGAATAGGCCCTGAACTTCAGGCTTTTGGCCTGAACCGACAGGGGGCCTGTAAGCCCTGGATTTCAGGCTTTCGGCCTGAAGTTCAGGCTTTTAGCCTGGACGGACGCGGGCCTGCAAAATGGCCGTCGGGCCTGCAAAATGGCCCGTGTGTGCACGCGCTGCATGTAACAAGCACCAAGAGGGTGGGCGGAAGGGTGGGGGCAGCGGATGGTGGGGACCACTGCATGTGTTATGAATGGCAGACGATCGATTGATTGCTTCCATGACACGCTCATCCGGTGGGCGGGCGGAAGGGTGGGGGCAGCGGATGGTGGGGACCACTGCCATGTGTTGTTCTACCGGCAGTAGAATGGCAGACAAGCGGTTGATTATTTCCATGACACGGTTATCCTGTGGGCGGGCGGAAGGGTGGCGGTAGCGGATGGTGGGGACCACTGCCATGTGTTGTACTAGCGGCAGTAGAATGGCAGGCGATCCGTTGATTGCGTCTGTGACACGCTCATCTTGTGGGCGGGTGGAACGGTGGCGGTAGCGGATGGTGGGGACCACTGCCCTGTGAGGATTTGAACCCTCGTCAACATGCTGGACGAAACTGCCTTTTTTTTTCTTTTTGTTTTTTTCCTCTCAAAAGAAAACTGCTACTTTCGGATTCCATTCGGTCATCGATGACTGGTCGATTTGGTGCCGCAGCGTGATTACGGTATGTGGGAGGGATTGAACCCTGGGCAACGTCTTCGCCACAAACTGCCGCCGATAGCAACCCTTGACTTTCCTATTACGCCGAGCTGAAGTTGCAGGTGATTGGTTATTTGGCACTGCAACATGGTCACAGCGTTGGGGATTGAACCCTCGTCAACATGTTGGGCAGGAACCCTCTTGCTGACAAGAGGTGCTACTCACCGATTGACTCAAGTAGGAGACGATTGGTCGGTTGGTGCTGCGACTCGATGATGCTGTCAGGGATCGAACCCTCGTCAACATGTCCAAGGGGACTGAATGAAGCAGAAGCTCTCATGGCTTGGAAGAGGATGACAGTTAGGATTGTGCGTGTGTCCACCTTTTTTCTGTCTTTGTCTTTGTCTTTAGGATTGTGGGTGTGTCCACCTTCTCTCTCTCTCTCTCTCTCTCTCTCTCTCTCTCTCTCTCTCTCTCTCTCTCTCTCTCTCTTGTTTGTTGGCCTTTCTGTTTTCCCCCTGCCAACAGTACGAAGCAGATCACCTGCTATTTTTACACACCTAAGTTGTGAGTGTCAGAAGGAAGCAGTCAATAGTGGATGGCCTCTTCAGGGCCCTCGTTATTATTTTGGACATGAACCTAGGCTACCAGCCTGGGCGCCCGGGTCCCGGGTGGCCAGCCCGTGCAAGGAAAA